CTCACAACCGGGGGGGGGGGACATATATATATATATATAAGAATTCAGATATAAGTTTATTACGGATGTAACACATTTGTCAGTGGCATAGTGTCCCGTCGTATGTCGGCGTCAGGACTCTAGAAACCATTGCAGCAGTTCACCAGTAATCGAATATTGTTATTATTACATAAAGCTTATAGAATATTAATGTATATTATAATGTTTAATTGTATTGTCGCCGTCACGCTCTGATTCGTCGATGAGCATTTGCTTTCACAAAACTGAACACTTCCTTTTAAACCCAACCCTCTCTCCCAACATCGGAATCATCCTTCGTCTTCTTCCTCCGAAATCTGCACAGAAAGAGAGAGAGAGAGAAGATGAAGAACGGAGGGAACAACAACACGAAGCTAATTCTTCTTCATCCGTACATCCAGAAACAGACGAGCACAAATCGGCTATGGCTTCTCGCCTTCGTCTCCTTCTTCACCATCGCATTCCTCCTAACCTTACTCTATACCAGAGGCTCCATTCCCGCCAAATCCTCCACCACCGCCTCCGTATTCTCCGCCGGAGTCACCGCCGCCGCTAACCCCCAGCTCCCGACGAGCGTAATCAACGCGCTGCTTCATTACGCGTCGAGATCTAACGACAGCTTCCACATGTCGCATGGAGAGATGAAATCGATCTCCGACGTGCTCCGCCGCTGCGCTCCGCCGTGCAATCTCCTCGTCTTCGGCCTCACCTACGAGACACTTCTCTGGAAATCGCTCAACCACAACGGCCGTACGGTCTTTGTCGAGGAGAATCGCTACTACGCCGCGTATTTCGAGGAGATCCACCCTGAGATCGACGTGTTCGATGTCCAGTACACGACAAAAGCCACGGAGGCGCGTGAGATTGTTGCGGCGGCGAAGGAGGCGGCGCTCAACGAGTGCCGACCGGTTCAGAACCTCCTCTTCTCCGACTGCAAGTTGGGCCTCAACGACTTGCCGAACCACGTGTACGATGTTGACTGGGACGTGATCTTCGTCGACGGGCCACGTGGCGACGGACACGACGGACCCGGTAGGATGTCGTCGATTTTCACGGCGGCGGTGCTCGCCCGGAGCAAAAAGGGCGGGAACCCGAAGACCCATGTCTTCGTTCACGATTATTACAGGGACATCGAGAGGCTTTGCGGCGACGAGTTCCTCTGCCGGGAGAATCTCGTGGAATCTAACGATATGCTTGCGCACTACGTGCTGGAAAGGATGGATAAAAACAGCACGCAGTTCTGTCGTGGCCATAAGAAACGCTCCGTGTCTTCTTCATCACCATCTTCGTCTAAATGAAATACCTTTGTTTTTCTTAAATAAAAAAAATTAAAGTCGGAGATATTTTTATGTGATGGTTGGTGCGGCGGCGGCGGTGACGCGGCAATGATCTTTAACAGGAGTTTGTAAAAAATAAAAAATTTTATTCGGAATTTTCTTATTGTAATTTTGGATCGCATCAAAAGTTTTAATTATATAGCCCTTCGGTTCGGATGTAATGTTATATTTCGTATGTTTTATGTAAATCGTAAATAAAAGAAAGACCAATATTTATGGAAAAAAATAGAATGTAGAAGATTATATACTTTAATTGCATGCAACAGTCCACGTTTACAAAGCCCTCGTATACTTCGTTCACCTCCAATATCCACACATCAAGCACCTGCGAACGATAGCTTCATCGTTGTCGTCGAGATGGCGACGGATTTCAAATCTCTTCCTGTTATTGGTCAGACATGAACCCTAGATTCCTTTATTTTCAGTAATCTCTCTCTGATTTTGCTCCCATTTCTCGTTTCTCTTTGGATTACTTACTAGCTGTTACTCTTCGGGACGATCCTCGATGTTTGGGATCATTTTTTTTAAAAAAAAAGATGGAATCAGGTGAATTCTCGTTGATTGTTGTCCAAATTGGTGATAACTGTTGTTGCAGATGTTGGTCCTTTGCTGGATAAGTGTGATGATCCAGACATGGCCGAGGATGCTGGTGTTGCGGAAGTTGTCCGGCAGCTCCACCGGGCTTGTCGGGACGCCGGATTCTTCTACGTGGTACAATTTCGTTTATACGAACTTTTGATTTGGTCAGGATTGTGTTCTATGAACGTTATAGGGCAAAAAGGATGACGAATCCCGTTTGTTTGTTGTGAATTACTGTTGATTATGATGGAAGTTGTGTTTCATTTCTGGGTTCGGACAATCTTTACTTCACGAAACTACACTGTGTTTATTGGTGTGGAGAAGATTGGCCATGGAATTCCTGCGGGGCTAATCAAAGAGGTTAGAGAGATCTCGCATGAGTTCTTTCAGCTTCGTTACGAGGAAAAGCTGAAGATCAAACTGACTCCGGCTGCTGGATACAGGTTTCCTGTCTTCGGGACTTTGATACATGTGTTCTGAGAGGTGTATCTTGTCTTGTTCATCTGTCCTGATGGTCAACAATATTCTTTGGGCAGGGGATATCAGAGAATTGGAGAAAATGTAACCAAGGGAAAACCAGATATGCATGAAGCCATTGATGTGAGCATTTTCCATAGCTTCACAGTTTACGATTTCTTTGACTTCCTCATCATGGACACTCTTCTAATGGTTTCTTGTGGGTTACAGTGTTACAGAGAAATCGAGCCGAAGGCATATGGGGATCTAGGAAAAGTGATGGAAGGACCAAACCAGTGGTATATAGGAGGAAACCCATCACTAGATTGCTGTTTGCTGGATGGTATCTATGTATCATACTCGTAATTGATGTGTCGTTTCATCTTGTGACCGTTTTTCTCTTGTTTACACCTTTCTGAAGGCCAGCAAATCCTCCAATGTTCAAGGTGCTGATGGAAGAGTATATCGGCCTCTGCACAGGTTTATTTATATCTACTCTTTCCTGTATGCTAAGGTTTCTTGTACTAACGATAGAATGACAGAAATTCTTATTTGCAACTTCCTGTTTCCAGATCTTTCTAGAAAGATCTTGAGGGGAATTTCCCTTGCTCTGGGTGGATCACCATACGAGTTTGAGGGCAAGATCGGAGGAGACCCATTTTGGGTAATGCGTATTATCGGGTATCCAGGTGGCCGGGGCGCGAATGGCAGTGGCAACCCAGAACATGACGTAGGATGGTAATATTGCTCGCACTGGTGTTGTTTACAATCTTTTTTTCTTGCCATGTTGATATTCTTGATAACACCTGGATGTCTCCTGTTCTTCTCTTTTCTCGCCCTGGCTGGGAAAACTTCAGTGGAGCTCACACTGACTATGGTAATGGGGCTTGAACACAAACAAGTTGAAATCCTAATCCTACCCTTTTGGCATATCTCAATGACCGTGCAATCCGTGTTGGCAGGCTTGTTAACTCTGGTCAATCAAGATGATGACAAAACTGCTCTTCAGGTAATGTTATAATCCTCTCCTTTTCTTCACAAGTCATCTTACCTCGGCTTTGGTTTATGCTCTAATGGTCCAGCTCTATAGCTTTTATCTCCAAATTCACGGGCTTGATGAAAGAAAAAAAAAATACATAACTAGAAAGTTCACATTGAAGGTAAGGAACATTTCTGGGGAATGGATATCAGCTGTCCCGATCCCGGGGTCGTTTGTCTGCAACATCGGCGACATGTTGAAGGTCTGTTTTCCACTCACTAATCTTTTTTCGACTGGAGAATTGAACAGCCTTGATATAGTTTTCGGGAATCTGCAGATACTGTCAAACGGCATATACGAATCTACCCTTCATAGAGTTATCAACAATTCTCCAGCATATCGCGTCTGTGTGGCTTTCTTCTATGAGGTCTCAGTGACTTTTACCACTGTTCCTCCTCGTCCTTCACGTTTTCATTCCCGGGTTTGTTTCAAATGCTTTCTGCTGTTTGTGTAAACAGACGAATTTCGACGCGGTGGTGGAGCCTTTAGACATTTGCAAACAGAAGGGCCGAGCAAACGTAGTTTTCCAAAGAGCTGTATATGGAGAGCATCTTGTTAGCAAAGTCCAAACAAACTTTGCAATGTAATGTAAGTAACATTTCTCTCAGACTTGTGTCTGAGAGAAGACTTTGCGATGTTAAGAATCTGTCTTTCTCATATTTCATGGCTCAGCTTCTTTGTGCAACTGCAAATGATCAAGTTTGGCTTTTGAGTTTCTTCTTGAAAAAACAAAGAGATACACATGACCTTTTTTATAGTGATACAACACAGGATCAGAAGAAGAAGAACGCAGGTGCTGAGACATAAATGGGGGATCCTATTCTTTTATTAGCTTCCGGACCTAAAAGAATCTTTAAATCAGATTTTGACCAAAACAAAACCTTTCAGCCTCCAATTCATTAATCATTTGGCAGTGATTATTGCTTCTTCAGTGTTTATCCTCTTGTAAAGTGGGACTCTTCCCCCGAGCTCTCTGAGCTGATCCACCAGACCATACAGAAACTCAAAGGTGAGTTTGTTCTGAGCGTTAAGCTGTTCCCTCACTTGGGGATGAACCTTAAACCAATCTCCCAGCATCTTATGGACATGAGACCGAACCATTCTCCATGGCACTGGATACTTCTCACACAACTTCAGATACTCCACAGCTAACTCACCCTGGTCTAAGTTCCCATCCACAAACTTCCCTTCCTCATCGGTCACCCATTCAACTGTCCTAAACCCGGCAAAGAGGGCAGGATTCTCCAGAAGGGTCTCGGCCGAAAGGACACCTTCCACTCCCGTCTCTGCGATACAGTTCTCAGCATCTTCAAGATTACGCACGTTTCCATTCGCGAGAACCGGGATCTTCAGAGCGTTCTTCACTGCCTTGATGGCTTCCCAATCTGCCCGGAACTTCTTCCCGTCCTTCTGATCTCTCGTCCTGCCGTGCACGGCGAGTAACGAGCAGCCGGCCTCTTCTAACATCTTGGCGTAGCTGAGAGTGTCCTGAAGGTTTGGAAAGATTCGGATTTTGCAGGAGACGGGCACATCAAGATTCTGAGCTAATTTCTCGACAAGTGATTTCACGAGCGGAAGATCATCCATCAGGAATGCACCGTAGTTTCCCCTTCTGGCAATACGCTGTGGACACCTGGAAAATGAAAGCAGCACTCAGTGTCACATCACATAAAGTTTCGATCTTTGAATCAAATTCTGAAGAAATCTTGTGCATTGTTAGAACAAAGAATGAGGCTTTACCCTAAATTGATATCAACATAATCACAGAAAGGCTCAACTCTCCTTGCAGCTTCCAATAGTATATCAGGATCATTAGCACAGAACTGCACAAACAATGGCCTGTCCTCCTACAATTTCAAAACCCATAAAAAAAAATCCCATGTAACCACGATCCAAAATTTTTTGAAAAAAAAAAAACTTACGAAGTTAGTTCTTACCATGCAGGTGGTGAATTCCTGATTCCGACACTTCTCGTTCTCGCTGAAAATCCTCGAATGCAACATCGGAGTATACGCCGCCGTGGCTCCGTACTTCCGACAGAGCATCCGAAACGGTAGCTCCGAGTTGTCTACCATCGGCGCAACGATGAACTTCGGTCGGCCCAGTTTCTTCCAGTGAGCCCAAGCTCGATCCACCCGGTTCTCTCCGGCCAAGACCCGACCCGGAGAACCCAATTCCACCGGCGTACCGTCCACCTCCCGTTGCTGCTGCTGCTCCGAGCAGAGGAGGTCGTCGAGATCCTGAGACGGATCCGGGTCATTGGCCATGGCTTGAGTCTGGACAACGAGAGATTCGCGGGTCCGAAGAAATCTGTAACGGGAGAGATTCGAGAGGTTTAATTTCATTTCATGGGCGAACGGACGACAGGAGGCTAACCCATCGCCGCCGCCATTAGTTAGGGAGCCAGAAGAAGTGAATAGGAAAGGAAATTTGGGACCTTAAATACATAATTTTGCCGCTTATTGGGCCGTGATGGGCTTTCTGTGACTTTTCTTTTGGGCTCGAGCTAAACTTTTGTTTTTTTGCCACCTTCTGGATCGGGTCTATTTTTCATTTGTTTTTTTTTTTTACAAAATGTCAAAGTCAGAATGAAAAGATGTCCTTTTCTTGTCACCCTCGAAGTAAGTTCGCGCCTCCGACAATGGTGAGAAGAGTTAGGCTTTTCAAGACCATTACGAAAGTTTGAAACGCCGAAACCTCCAAGTCAACATGAGGAGAATTTCGCTCCAGCCAAAACCTCTAAGTCAACTAGAGGAATCTGTGGATCATAACGGGCCTGGTTTCGCTTTTAATGGGCCTGGCCCAATTACGCATAGCAACACTAATCATGAATAATCGGGAAATGAAAAGTTAATGCTTCAGCTATTGGCCGAAAAATAAAATTAGTTAATATCTCAATCAGTCCAATCATCTACAAAAGTAATGTGTGAATGAAATTGAACCTTGATGATTTGTGTTCCCTTGATTCACCCATACATCACGGGTTTCTGACTAATCATATGATCATTCCACGTAAATGATGGAGATTGATATCATAAATAATTCAAAAGTATGAGATTTATTTTTAAAAAAAATAACAAAATTAGCGGAAATTAACTGTTGATGTGGCCAGGTACGAAATTCTTAATTCCCGTAGAACGAGGAGCCGAATTGGCTAGACCGGACCGGCACCGGCCGAAAAGAGGGAGGGCCCATCTGTGTCTTCATCGGACCAAATAGGCAAATACCATTACCAATCGATTAAATCGAGCAACCGAATAGAAGGGAAACTTCAATCTGAAATGGCAAATATATATACACACACATACATATATAGATTTACTTGCGTATTTATTTTATCTGACGGGAGAAGTCTTCACACATGCTAAGAAAGGATATCAGAACAAAAAAAGAGAAGCAAAGATATAGAGGGAGCCCATACGCTTAGGTTTTGGGATGGACAAATATCATTCAAAGCTGTCCAGAAGAAACGTCATCACCATGGTTAGACCATCTCCTGAATGTGCAAGCTACCAAGTTCCTACCAGCCAGAAACCCTAACTTTGTCCTAATCATTGCTAATCTACTGCCATTATTGACGTTATTACCCGAACCCGAAGCTTCTGCAACAGCACCTTCAGCTGCAGGAGGGTCGGATTCCTCAACCGCTGTCTCAAGAACTCCACCATCACCACTGTTAGAATCAAGGGTGTCATCACCATCCATACTCACCACCAGAGACCTCCTTCTTTCACGCAGCCATTCCCCGACCTCACCAGTCACCACCCGACATTTCTTCACCTTAAGTTTCACTAGATTCGGGCAACCCACGGCGAGTGCCTCGATCCCCACATCCGAAATCGGACACCCCTTTATACAGAATTTCCTCAACGCCTCGCACTTGTTGGCAATGCACGCAATCTCAGCATCGCCTATGGTTCCACTTCCGCATAGAGCCAAACGTTCGAGTTTTGAACATTTGGAAGCAATGGCTGCCAGGCTCGTGTGAGTTGCATTCACACCAATAAGAACAAGCTCTTGTAAGCTAAGACAATGTTGAGCTACGGCCATCAAACCCTCATCACCGATTCTATTAGTCCTCCATCCATCAACGTGAAGCTTTCTTAGTTTCTTGCACTTCTCCGCAATACTAATCAGCCCTGTATTTGAGCACTCCGGGGTTTTCACTATATGCAAACTTTCAACATTTGAACATTTAGATATGGCTGAAAGTCCCACATCACTGACTTGGAGCCTCTCAAGGTGAATTTCGGACAGGGAACTGTTTCCATCTCCAATCATTTGAAGAACTTTATCCCAATCACCCAGACATCTAATAATTTTCAACGTTTTAAGGGTTTTTGATCCAGCAACCAAAGGTTCGAAAACCTGACCGTTAACGAGCTCCTTCAAGCAAATCCTGAGCACAGAAGACGAACGTAGCTGAACTTGTTCGGCAGATTCATGTATTCCTCTGAGACGATTCACCGACAAATCCTCCAGAAGCCTGCAATGTTCGAGCACCGCGTTCAAGCCTTTTGCGCCGAAATTGCAGGAACCACACGATAACTTCTTCAATTTCTTGCAATTCTTAGCAAAAGCCTCCATTCCCAGATCTGTGATCTCGCGACAACCGCGGATCTTGACACGTATCAAATTCGAACAGCGGACCGAGATCATCGCCAGTCCCTGGTCGTTGAGACTAACGGACTTCCGATCACATCGGAGGACAAGCTTCGTGACGGAATCGAAGCGCGTGAACATCGCCGGCAGAAACGGCAGCATCTCCGGCCGTGCGTCCAGAGAGAGACGGTGACGATTCTCTCCGTCGACGCGGAGCCAACGCTTGCAGACTAGGGAGCACCGCTTTCGGTCGCCAGCGCCGAGGAAATGGAAAACATGAGCCAAACACTCATCAGGCAGATCCCCGGTGAAATCGCGAGCTCCACCACCATCCCCCAAATTGAAAGATTCTCCGGCAAAGATCCCCGAAGACCATAGCCGCAGATCCACGTCCCGGCCGTTCGGCTCCGCCGTAGACGACGATGTCTGGCCCATTTCACGCACGCGCCACCGCAATGGAAATAGGTTAAGGTTCAGTCTCTCAGATATTGCTCTCTCTCTCTTCTTTCACTCTCTCTCCTCTCCATTTGGGGGGAATATTGTTATAAAGCATACAGAAAATAAAATAATAATAATTAAAAAAATAACGGCGTGTCTCATCGGAGTCGCCACGCCCATCCCTCGCACACACAATAAGACCCATGCCCTAATGGGCCCTTTTCTCACTCTCCCCACTTGGGCCTTTTCCCCTTCTCTTTCTCCACCGTCCGATCTATTTTCCATCCGATGGTTCTCATTCAATCACGACCCTTGCGTTCGTTGACTTTGACCGTCCACTCCTCTTGCTCTTTTTTTCCCCTTAATTACATAAATATATTATAAGTTATAACCAAAGGATTTGTAAATTCAAAATGTTGAATTCCAATGAAAAAAAAAATGGTATCTTCTCTTTTAGACATGGCAAATAGATTCTTACCTTTAAATTTAACGAGTCATTTAATTAGTAAACTAAACCCAATGTCCCATAAAACGACGTCGGAACAATCAACGGAGGAATGTTCGCGTCAAGCGTTCCATGGTCAAGGCCTCTCGCTATCTATTTCGGTCCATTATTCAAAAAAAAAAAGAGAGTCAAATACTTCAATATGGAAAGTTGGAAACCAACTGCTGTGTCATCTTAGAACGATCCTCGTTTCCATCGAGAAACTTTGTTACGCGCAAAATATTAAACTTCTGCATGCATGCATGTGCATGCATACATACATACATACATACATACATACATACATACATACATACATACATACATACATACATACATACATACATACATACATACACACACACTCCTATCTTATTACTAAATTCCCAACATGAACTAATGGGCCCAAAGAGTTTTTACATTGGGATTTTACTAATGGGCTAAGGAATTTACCAACTAATGGGTTTTCCTAATGGCCCACGACTATTACATTGGGGTTTTACTAATGGGCCCAAAATCAACTAATGGGTTAAAAAAGGAATATGTCGTATGTAGCTACTAATGGGCCTAGATAGAATATCCCCTCGGTCGGCCCAATTACGATGATGGGCCCAAAGCGCGCTAACTACCCCTTCCGCATAATATTTATCGATTTCCGCACAAAAAAAAAAAGAAAATAGAATCTTTGATTTTATTAATGCTGAAAGCGGAAAATAGCAAACATGTATGGGAAATTCGGATTTATATATTATATGGAAGACAATAAGAAAATGTGTCATTAATAGTAAAAACATTATTGCGTATTGCACGGCCTCTGTGAAAGCTTTTGGGAGTTGGGGTTTTGCTGGACAACACTGAACATGTTTTAATCCCACCACATCTTCCTGCTTAGGTTTTCGGGCCAATAAAAAGTGAAATAAAAGCATAGTATTTTAATTTTTAAACTCAAATTTCTTTTTTTTTAAAAAAAAGAGGAAAAAAGTTCTACGTATTTGATTTTTTTATCATATATTTATAATATCTGCTGAAATATTGGTATTTCAAATCTTAAAAGCTGGACCGAATAAATACATAATTGCATTGACAAATATTTATACATTAGTTTTTCTCGGCAGCCATGAAATGTGTGTATATAATATATATAGATATATCGCAAATAATACATTCATTATAATTTATATAAATAAATTAATCTCTTTTCATTTTTTTTGGGGTGAGAGACAGAAGAGTAAGAGACGTAAAGGAACGTAAAAAAGGATAAAAAGCATTGAAAATATATGTGAACGTGATGTAATGGAATACATGACCATGCTATCGTCGGCATCATGTGTTATTGGAAAATAGCGACGTAAAAGAAAGATCGAATCTGCAGATAATCTCTTCTTTTTTTTCATGGGAATAAAAATAATATTATTTTAACAGTAAATAATTTAATTTAATTGAATTAGAAGCTGAAACGTTACGATGCTGTGTTTTTTTTTTAAATAGCGTATAAAGGGAAAGGAACATTTAGTTATGGCAGCTGCATGGCTATACTATGCAATCAAACATATATATTGTATACATTGATTATATATAATATGTGTGCGGATATATAAATTTACATTTACGCCATGGACCCACCAATGCCTCGTTTTTTCATTACGAATATTTAAATCTAATTAAGGGGGCTAGATTGTATGTAAGGTTGTTGTGATGGGCGAATATTTAAATCGGGTATTATTAGATTTTAAATTTTGAATATGGCAACGGCTATATGAAGTGATTATGCATCACTGTTGATATATAAACAATGATTGTTTTGAGTTTCGGCAGTGGGCAAAGTCAAAGTTCATAATTTACTACTTTGCCATATCTTTTGGCAAAAAAAAACTCAACAATATTAAAGTTATATTTTATTATTTTTTTATCATATGGTTGCGAATTTTAGTCACACGATTAAAATGCACCGGTTACGCAAATTTAATGACATTTACAATGCTCATACAGTGAAACCATTTGGCATTTATGAGAAAAATTGAAGAAAAAAAAACACGTAATGACAGTTTGGTCATACGATTGAAAATTGAAATTCGTCTGTAATGCACAATTTAATATCATTTACAAAATTGCACGTGGGGGAAACAAATGGCAATAATAGTAACAATAGAGCGGCAAGGGCAATAAGTGGACCAACTTTTACAGGTATGAAAACTTATATAATTCCATGATTTCAATAAATCTGAGACGGCTAATATTACTATTTATTCATATTTGATAATTGAGTTGCAGTAGCTATAGGTTGGAGGTAAATTGATAATGATAATTGATGGTGGGTTAATTAGTAAATATATATATATACACACACACGTTGCCCCTAATAAAATTATAAAAATTGAAATAAATGCCCTGCTAATTAATAGGACGTCATCCGCATGTTAGCATTCCTATCTAATAGAGATTTTATTTCGTTTTTCTTATAATTTTACGCTAAATTTGCCTTTTTTAGAATAAATCTTAAAGTTTACTACAATCTTTTCAAAAAATCTATTATTTTCTTTTATAAAAGCTGTTTTATTCGTTCAAGTACACGTCTTTTTTTTTCATGCTTCAAATCCAAGTTTAATTAGATAAAATTCAAAACAAATATTATCTAATCCATCATGTCTAGAAAATACCTTTATAGGGTACACAAAATATTCAATTTTTTTTTAAAAGCCCAATTAAAATAATTATGTGGAATACAAAAATAGCATAAAAGGAAAAGGAGAGCGTTCTTTTAACGGAACGAGGACCAATTTTTTTTTTATTGGTTTTAAATTATGGAAATTGGACCACCGAGAATCTTGCAAATCGATTGAGAGAAAAAAATGATTTTTGTTTTTGTTTTATATTAAATTTGTTTCAATTATGCCTTTTTTCCAAACTGTTTTATGTCAGCTTGGTTGACCATCTAATTTTTCGAATTCGTCCACGTGGATTTTTCTTTTGACAAACTCTTCGACTCCATCCTCATTACATAAATACAACACCAGCGATATAAAAAATTCGATATATATTCATAGTCCATATGATAATATAATCCTAAAAATATGTTTCATGTGAATAAATTCAGGTGTGCGTAGAAAAATTTCATACCATGATTTTGAAGAATTGGTTAAATGTTTATTATTGAATTTTGATATTCCGAAAATACTTTTATTTATTTTAATGCTCATAATATCATAATACTATATATAGATTCGAGACGGACATGTATGGTAATAAGGTTTGGTTCGCCAGCTTTATTATTAGAAAAAGAAAATAAATTAAAAATTAAATATATATTATATTTGTTCGTGGATAAAAACAAAGGGGAGTTACTGTTTCATCAATTTTCTCGCGCGCCAAACATCCGAACAGTAAAAGACGAAAAAGGGGGAAAAAAATATTCGTAATATATATAAAAAAAAGGCAAGCGTGAGATAAAATAAAACCCTTCACTTTCTTGGCGTTTGTCTTCTCTCTTTCTCACACAAGAATCCAGGGAGGCATAGATAGATGACCCCGTTTGGAGGTCCAATGGCGGAATGAGCAGACACATTTTCGAGCTCTTCTTCTCGGAAGGCGGAGAAAATGGATCTGCAGGAAGAAGATACTCAAAACGCGCCGTTTTGCGTTCTCGATGGGCTCTACTGCGAGGAAGAGAGCGGGTTTGTGGAGGATCTGGTGGGGACTGATGGAGATGGAGATTCGTGGGAAAGGTCCGATGAATGTGTCGAAAAGCCTTCGTTTTTCGCTCTGGTGTTGTCTGAACAGGACATGTCCTGGGACGAAGATGAGCTGTCGAGTCTAACTTCGAAGGAAAAGGAAACAAAGCCTTGTTTTTGTGACAAAATGTTGGATCAATTTCTGGTTTTATGCCGGAAAGAGGCTCTTGATTGGATTTTTAGGGTGAAATCCTATTATGGGTTCAGTTCATTGACGGCGCTTCTTGCAGTCAACTACTTCGATAGGTTCATTACAAGCATAAAGTTTCAGACAGAGAAGCCATGGATGTCTCAGCTAGCAGCTGTTGCTTGCTTGTCTCTGGCGGCGAAAGTCGAAGAGATCCAAGTCCCGTTGCTCTTAGACCTTCAAGTAAGCTAAAAATATTTGCGCTTTCTCGTAATGCCGGTTGGGTGTTTGCTGAAATGCCATAGCTATGCATTTTTTCTTGAATTTCTAACAGAGTTCTTGTCTTCTATTGCTGTGGATAGGTGGAAGAAGCGAGATACGTCTTCGAGGCAAAAACCATACAGAGAATGGAGCTTTTGGTTCTGTCCACTCTTCAGTGGAGGATGCACCCTGTCACTCCATTGTCCTTCTTCGATCATATTATCCGTCGTCTCGGGTCCAAATCCCAGCTCCACTGTGAGTTCATGCGGAGGTGTGAGCGTCTGCTTCTCTCTGTCATTGTTGGTGAGAATTCCATAGTACCTCTCTTGGGTTTCGATCGAATTCTTGAATGGGAATCAATGTGTGGTACGATTGTTTTCTCGATCTTAAGATTCTTGTGCTGATACCCTGATACTGGATCTCGGTTCCAGATACGAGATTCATGAGGTACACATCTTCAGTGTTAGCTACTGCGATAATGATCTATGTCATGAAGGATTTCAAGCCGTGTGACGAAGCTGAACACCAATCTCAGCTCATGAGTCTACTCAAAGTCGATCAGGTCTGTGCCTTAAACTGATTGAATCTGTCATGGTATTGGTGTAAGGACCAAACTGATTGAACATTGCTTTATACAGGAAAAAGCAAATGAGTGCTATGAATTATTGTTGGACTTCGCTGGAAGCCATAACCCGAACAAGAGAAGGTTGAATTTGCCGGTACCAGCAAGTCCAACGGGTGTATTTGACATAGCATTCAGCTCTGATAGCTCGAATGACTCGTGGTCGTGGGTCATGTCAACTGCCTCAGTTTCCTCATCGCCCGAGCCACTGCTCAAGAGGAGAAGGGTGCAAGAGCAGCAGATGCGGCTGGCCTCAATAAACCGTATGTTTCTCGATGTTCTTAGTAGTCCTCGCTAGTGTTCTCACCCATATGAATGGGCCGATTAGAATGTAACCTGATTCAATCCTTCCATAGCCATCTTTATGTCCCCTCGGCTAGCTGGTTAGTTGCCACGCCTCTTTCTACTTTGGACGGTTTGAGCGGTGAACTTTTGGTATGAATGATCCAAAAAAAGAAGAGATGTTTCTTTTTGTGTTAAGGATTTACTCTGAGCTGCTAATTGCATTGATGGATCCAAATAGATTTGTAGTAAGCTTATAAGAAAGTATGCCTGATGTGGTAGTTTCCCTTGCATTTACATTTGAAAATGAGGATGTCCCATCATGGATGTTTCCTATAGGGTTTTTGTGTGTGTGGTTTTCTTGATTTCTTGACTTATATGTGATAAACTTATGTTTTTAGCATGGCCAACAGAATTCAAGTAATGGTCAGAACATCACTGTAATCTTGATCAGAAAAACTGTAGATTGGGTATGTAGTTCCAATGGTCTTGAACACTTTGGACAGAGAACTGACAGATGAACCATCAGTATCCCCTGGGATGGTTCATAATTCACCCCTTTTGGTAAATCTTTGGGAGATAAGATTAGAGATAGGGAGTGGTTTGGATTTGGCAGACAAAATACACAAAGTGTCTTTGAAACATATGGTCATTGAGGAACAGAGAAGAGCTGACATAGTTTATGCTACACATGTGATAGAACTTGTCCTGTTGGGAGACAGACCATAGAGGTTTTTTTTACCAAAAAAAAATTCTAAATTGAAAAATCAGACTATTATTTCCTTTTTGGCTTCTCTCATTTTGATTTTCTTTTTGGTGTTTAGAAAAATTCGCTGCATGTGACAAATAAACAAGGGAAAATCAAGTAAATTTTTAACCTGGTAAATAAATAACTTGAAATGTGTAAAAAAAAATATATATCAACTTTTTAAAATCGAAAATCGAAAACAATTTTTTTTATTTGCATCAAGATATTTAGATATTGTTTTTGCATATGAAATTGCGCTATATTAGTATTTTTTTTAGCACATTTTAAAATTTGATAAATTCATTTATTTTTTAATAGGGTTAAACCCACAAAAACCCCAAACTTATTAAAATATTTCATATAAAATCTTTAACTTATAATCTCACATAAAAAATCTTGAATTTGGTAAAAACTTCCGCAAAAATTACAAATTTACAATTTTTTTTCCATATAAAATTTTTGACTTGTTTGACCAAAAATTTTGCTAACGTGGTATAACAGATTGCTGATATGGCGCTAACTGAGTTGCTACGTCAGTATCACATTATCATTTTAAAAATAAAAATATTTGATAAAAATATATATGTACAAATATATATATATATATATATATA